GGTCGAGTCCTCAGCCGGATCGCCACCAACGCCCTTAAAGGCCACGCGAAAGCGGCCGCGGCCAAGAAGAGCCGGAAGAACCGGCCAAACGCGAGCGGCGGCGGAGCCTGTGCGGGGCCTGGGTCTGAGCAGGCGGCGGCCTGCGAGCCCGTGGTGAAGCTGTACTACCGGGAAGAGGCGGTGGCCGAAGATGTGCTCAACGTGGACGCCTGGCAGGACGGTGCGGTGCTGCAGATCGGCGATGTCAAGTACAAGGTGGAGCGCAACCCGCCCGCCTTCACCGAGCTGCAGTTGCCACGGTACATCATGGCCGGCTTCCCGGTGTGCCCCAAGCTCAGCCTCGAGTTTGGGGATCCCGCCGGCTCCCTCTTCCGCTGGTACAGGGAAGCCAAACCGGGATCGGCGGAGCCGGAGGGCGGGGGCCCCTCGTCATTGTCGCCCTCCTCGCCCAGTACTAGCTGGACGAGCACGGGCGTGGACGAGCGCGTCTACACCCCGTCCAATGCCGATATCGGGCTGCGTCTCAAGCTTCATTGCACCCCAGGCAATGGGCAGCGCTTCGGGCCCAGCCGGGAGTTGGAAAGTGTGTGTCCAGTGGAGGCTGGGCCCGGCACTTGCACCTTCGATCACCGGCATCTCTACACGAAGAAGGTGACGGACGACGCGCTCATCCGCACGGTCTCCTACAACATCCTCGCCGACACGTACGCCCAGACCGAGTTTTCGCGGACCGTGCTGTACCCGTACTGCGCCCCTTACGCCCTGGAGCTCGACTACCGTCAGAACCTGATCCAGAAGGAACTCACCGGCTACAACGCCGACCTCATCTGTTTGCAGGAGGTTGACCGCGGCGTGTTCACGGACAGCCTGGTGCCGGCCCTCGAGGCCTTTGGGCTGGAGGGCGTGTTTCGAATCAAGCAGCAGGAAGGCCTGGCTACCTTCTACCGAAAGTCCAAGTTCAGCCTCCTTAGCCAGCATGACATTTCTTTCCACGAGGCCCTGCAGTCCGACCCACTTCACAAAGAACTGCTGGAGAAATTAGTGTTGAACCCTGCGGCCCAGGAGAGGGTGTTCCAGAGGTCGTCTGTCCTTCAGGTAAAGCAGCTCCGCCAGCCTCTTTACACACTCATCCATGTTTAGGGTCCTGGAAAGGGAGTGTGGGCGGGGCTGCCTCTAATTGGGTAAAACCATCCAGATTTTACTGAAAGGTGTTTTTGCCCGTGGACCTCCAGCACGAAGGTTAACCGTCGTTCATTCATTGAGCAAGTCCTTACTGAGCACTCCAGTGTGCCCGGCATGCTGCAGGTTGCCTTGAGCAAGGCAAACGGGGACTTTATTCGTGCTTATAGCCTAGTGGGAGAGACACATGCGAACTACAAGGATAATGGGAATACCTAATATTTTCTTACCACTTGCCAAGAACTGTTCCGACACGTTCTAAAGGATGTACTTTAGTGTCTGACATCATGTTTTACAAAGTGCTCCATAAATACTAGCTATTATTTTAATTTTTGGTTCATAGTAATCCTGCTATTCCCATTATTTAGATATTAGCCTTTCTATTTTATAAATGGGGGGAATGGCCAAGTTTATTTATCCAACTTCATTAGTCCCTTGGTAGCTGTCCTGGGCATCAGATGGACTGTCACTCATGTTCAAGTAACCCTTATAGTAGCCTCACACCGTTACACTGCCTGCCTCTTCACCTCACTTCATTCCTCCCGTAGAGTGAGTACAATACAATATTTTGAGAGAGAGTTCACATTACTTTTATTACAGTATATGCAGTGTCATAATTGTTCTGTTTTATTATTAGTTATTGTTAATCTCTTACTGTGCCTAATTTATAAATTAAACTTTATCATAGGTATGTATGTATAGGAAAACATAGTGTATATTATAGGGTTTGGTACTTTTTGTGGTCTCAGGCATCCACTGAGGATCTTAGAATATATTTCCCATGGATAGGAGACACTACTGTATTCAAAAACTTTTAGCCCTGGCAGGGTAGCTCAGTTGATTAGAGTGTCATCCTGATATGCAGAAGTTTTGGGTTCCATCCCCCGTAAGGGCACAAACAGGAATCAATCAGTGAACGAATAATAAATAAGTGGAACAACAAATCAGTGTGTTTCGTTTCCTCCCTACCCTTCCTTCTTCCTCCTCTCTCCTTAAAATCAATTAAAAAAAACCAACTTTTAACAAAAGTTAAATTTCAGTTATGATTATACTTCATCAGTATGGGAAGGATATAGAATAAAATGTTATTTCATCTTATAGTCTTAGATTTAAAAAACATTCAGGAGATTGGCAGATAGCAACTGAAGTATTAACACTTTCTGTATGTTTTAGGTTTCTGTTCTTCAGTCTACAAAGGATTCTTCTAAAAAGATATGTGTTGCTAATACCCATCTCTACTGGCATCCCAAAGGTAGGTTTTATTGGTTTCCACAAGTGACTTAAACATAGTAGCTTAAGGTCAGTAAAGCTATTTTACACAAATATATATATATTTTTTCTTTAAGTTTTATTGAGATATAATTGACATACAACATTGTACAAGTTTAAGGTGTACAACATAATGACTTGATTTGCATACATTGCAAAAATGATTACCACAACAAACTTATATAAATACCAAAAACAGGTGAGGGGTTTTTTTTCTTGTGATGAGAATTTTCAGGATTTATTCTCTTAGCAACTTTCAAATATCCATACAGCAGTGTTAATTATACTCATGTTGTACATTAAATCCTCGGTACTTATTTATCTTATAACTGAAAGTTTGTACCTTTTGACTACCTCTATCTAATCTTTTACACACACAAATACACATCTTGAATGTCACACAAATGCTGTAGTTTGTTTTGTTTTTGTTTGTTTTAACTTAAAGGCAATTTAAAAGGTACTTACATTAATGTTTTTTATATTCATAGGTGGGTACATTCGTCTCATTCAAATAGCAGTAGCCTTGGCTCACATTAGACATGTCTCATGTGATCTGTATCCTGGCATACCAGTTATATTTTGTGGGGACTTTAATAGTACCCCATCAACAGGAATGTATCATTTTGTCATCAATGGCAACATTCCAGAGGATCATGAAGACTGGGCTTCCTATGGGGAAGAGGAACGATGCAACATGTCTCTTACCCATTTCTTGAAACTGAAAAGTGCTTGTGGTGAACCTGCTTACACAAATTATGTTGGTGGCTTTCATGGATGTCTGGATTACATTTTCATTGACTTAAATGCTTTAGAGGTTGAACAGGTTATTCCACTACCTAGTCATGAAGAAGTTACCACCCACCAGGCCTTACCTAGTGTTTCTCATCCCTCGGATCACATAGCACTGGTATGTGATTTAAAATGGAAATAGATTTGTGTTTAATGGAATTTAAGTCTGCTTTAATAAGAGATATTTAATATGAATCAAAGTTTATGTGTAACCTTCAAAGAGGAAAACTAGACACCAGGTTCTTAGTTCTTACCCTAGTAGTTATGTTTTAATGTCTTCATTACATGACTTCATAATCTTTGCAT